TTCCCCCATGGGGTGAAAAATAAACCCCATGGGGTTTTTGTGGGTTTTTTTGTGGGGTATTTTTAAGTTCATGTTTCCCCATGGGATTTTTGTTTTTGAACTCAAATATCTCAAAAACTAGCAGAAAATGTTGAATTTTTTTTTTCATGAATCAATTTGATTATAAAAACCCCACCATTTAAAAAAAACCCTAAGATGATAGCTTTAAAGGAAAAGGGTGCGCAAGTTCGGAAAAATGTCCATTCCGAAGTTGTCCGTCCCACTGTTACATTCATTTCACTTTGTTTTAAATTGATACAGTTTCTGTAATGATTATCTCTATTACGAACGTTAACTCAATCACACAAAGAATGAAGCATATTCAATGAAGACGAATACAAGTTGTCAAAATTTAGTGCCGCATTATAACGCTAGGTGGCAGGGGTGTTCGCTACGAGTGTTGATAAAACTAGGTAAGCAAACCCGGGCCGGGTTATTCGAGATTTTTCAATTTTCTGCCTTAATACTTTATCAATCGAACTTCTGAAGGCCGGATCCTATAACCCCATCCATTCGATCCAATGATGGAAACTCCATATTTATTTTCTCTGGTCACATAGGAATAGCGGCCTCTTTTTTCAGACATAACTTTATATACTTTACTGAATATGTTCATTGAAAGGCCGACCCACTTTTTATAAGGGTAAGGGTCAAATAAGGTTAATGTAGTAACCCAAAACCCACCCCGCCCCCGAAATAGCGTTGGAAGCAAAGTGAAAGTTGGGGGGGGGCAAAGTGTAAGAAATATTTTTTAGACCTTCAAAAAAACTTGACAAGCAAAAAAAAAGGAAATGTCCACTTTCTAAATACAAAAATCCTATTTCGTTGGGGGGGGGGGGTCGAACTTCAGTGCCAATTTTTTTTCAAAACACCACCACTTTCCCCATTTTAAACCTATACTGCATCGTGTCCATGGAAAGCGGGGGGGGGGGGGGGGGGGGGGGGGATAAACCTACGCAGCAATGTTCAATGTCTATACTAAGTCTATCTTTGGGAAAAAAAAAGTAGGGGCTAAGCCCCCCTTCCCGGTTCTGACGCCTATGTATTTTCAAGTTTGGACAGTCAATTTCCTTTTTTTATTTTTTATTTTTTTTTAATTTGCTTGTCAAGTTGTTTTCAGCCGGGTATCTTGAATTTTCAAAAAACGATGCTACGTCAATGTTCTCTCGCCTGAACAATATAACTCTGTTAAAGTTATTTGTTGGATAATTGAATTCCAGTTTAATTGACATAAAAATGTTAATATTTCCCTTATAAATTGAGTTTTTTTTCAGGACCTTCCACTGAACTGAACTTTATTTCACGACAGATAGTAACTGCTCATGCGTGTGATTCTAGGGACGGGACTTTGCAAAGGAGTGAGGAGCGTTATGGGTATTCGAAGTCGGAACCAGGCTACACCCCAGGCATACTAGAAACTCCCCAGTCTTTTTTCTGCTCTAATATTTTATGTTGAAATAGCACTTTTCAATAAAAAAAAAGAAATATTTGCCAGGAGAGCTAAAAAAATATTAAAACTTGAAAATTATTTGATAGTGGTGAGGAGGGAGGGGGGGGGGGTCGTCAACTTATTTTTGAGTACCAAATTTTACTCATATGCCACTAAGTACATGATTTTTGATATATATAAATTGACTATTAGTACTGCCACAAAAATGTAGGGGATGGGGGCAACAAGTCTTTCGCTGAACTTTTCCAGTAGTAAAAAGTCTGTTACGTTTAGGAAAATTTTTCGTGGCCCCCTCCCCTCTACCGGTGAAACTTACCCCATAGGAGGTCGTACAGACGGAAGTCAGTATACATATTGAGACTTGGGGTGGGGGGTGTTTGTACATTGTATAACGTCCCTTTAAATTCGAGAATTTTTAACTCAAATGGAGAAGCCACCTGCTGCCGGTGGAGAGCTGCAAATTTGTCCTAAAAACTCGGCACTTATAGCCATTGAGCAGTGAGGGATCTTTTTTCGAGCCAGCACCTACTGCGATACGGGACCTCGGGTAATAAGGTCTAGATCTCATCCGAAGGACCGAACTCCACGTCCCATAGTGAGATTCAAACCCACGACGTATTGATCGACTCCTTACTACTGTGTTTCGTGTCTCTAGAGCAGATGCCGTAACCACAGTGCCACGCGGGCGACTGCACCCGGGGGGGGGGGCTGCTGCATCCAGGGGGGGGGGGAGGAAGTCATTATCCATCTGTACTCGTGAGGATTATCTATGTTTAACTAAATGGATAAAATTATTAAAATTATGAACCAATATTAAAATGATATCATTTAAACATTTATTCATATAGGACAGATAACTTTTCTTCAAAAACTGAAAATGTTAGTATATAAACATTGTTTTACGATTAAAAAACCTATTCCAGGGAGGGGTTGCTATGAAGGAGGACGAATTGATATATACAGCGAGATTTACCACGGAAGACTAGCTATATATTGAAACTTCCCCGGGGGAAGTCTCATTGTATAGTCTTCCAAAGCATCACTATGTAGTCAGTCTTCCAGGGGAAATCTAACCATCTTCCGAGGGAATGGCATTATCGGGTACATACCTGAACGTATAACAAACATCATTTGAAAATTTAAGTTCGATTGATAAAGTATTAAGGCAGAAAATTGAAAAATGTCGAATAACTCCGGCCCGGGTTTGCTTACCTAGTTTTATCAACACTCTTAGCGAACACCCCTGCCACCTAGCGTTATAATGCGGCACTAAATTTTGACAACTTGTATTCGTCTTCATTGAATATGCTTCATTCTTTGTTTGATTGAGTTAACGTTAGTAATAGAGATAATCATTTTAGAAACTGTATTAATTTAAAACAAAGTAAAATGAATTTACAAGGATAAAGCAACATAGCAGTAAGGGCAAATGAAGAAGGATAAAAGTCAAAGTGAAATGTAATAAAGACGAATATGAAAACAATAAAGTGAGATATAATTACAATAATAACAAAGCATAAAGAAGTAGGCAGAATATGAATAAAAGCAAGAGACATAGACTTTTGGCGGTAATTCCCTTCCATACTTTTCGAGCCAAATGTCAAAGTAAGCTCGTGCCTTTTCCATGGATTGTTCTATTGTGTGAATGGGTGTGCTAACGTACGTCTATGCAGGGACCTATAGTCTATGGAATAGATTGAAGTTGTTTTTTTTTCTTTTTAACCGCCTTCTAACACTTCAGAAATTCTATCTACAAATTTTATCTCAATCAGATATTCTTTTAATTAAGTAATATATCGTATATATATCAGTATATGGACATGGAACACTAGAGAAATGATTTTTTTCTGATTTTCCCGATCCCTCGGTTTGTTTACTATATTTATGGACTAGTCCATTATTAAACATAGCAGTTCAACAATTAAGTCATGGAATATTTGTATCCCCGTTTCAGATGCACACAATAGATAAGAAACCAGTACATAATTTAGGATTTTTCTCATCAAAAAGGCCTAAGATATTGAATTTTCTTATTTTATTCTCAATAAACGATATTGACACCATCCCTCTTTTTTTAAGAAAAAAAAATATTAACCCACATTACTACTGTTTACTTCAGTGGAATAAATACACTCCGACAAAATGTGTATTTTTAATTATATCCATCTTTTGAAATGTTTACAATGCATGATTTCATAACAGATATCATAGATTTCATATAACAGGTGTAATAGATCCAATGGCAAGTCACTCCACTTGCACACCCCACCCCCTCCCCCAACGGAATAACAATTCTGAACAGGTGTAAAACAGCTTTCAATTTTTCATCCAAGGGGAGATCACTCCACTTGCAGACACCCCCACAGAATATCAACTCTTTAGTATGCAGTGTAGAGATGATTCTTCTGTAATTAAATAAATTTCATTTACACAAAGTTTTCAAAATATAAAGTAAGGACATATTTAAACCCACAAAAGTATTGCTCAAAGGTTTATCACTCCTCATGCAGATATTGATTGATTTAGTAAGGCAAGCTTTTTAAAAAGCTGTTACTTGTGAGAAGTTTAATTTCACTAATATTCTTAATACATTACTACTTGTATATTACATGTATCAGTATTCACACTGTGCAAAGTGGTCCTATGATACAAGTGTGAATCAAGCAATAATAAAACTATTTACAGTAAAATACAAGACATAAATGTAGCAAAAGAACAAAAAACTGTTGTAGTTATAACGATATTTAATGAATTACACCATAATCAACCTTAATCCACTTAGCAAACCATGTGCGCATCTTCCATAACCATGCAAAGAATATACAGATGTAAAAAGACGAGTTACATACATATATGTAATAAGTTTGAGATCATATAGATAAATACAGAAGACCTTATAGTAAATGGTACATGTATCCCCTCTTACAACAATAATCAAAAATACACAATGCTGAAAATGAAAACAAATGATATAGGAATTAAAATTAAAACTATACATAACATTCATTACACTTAAGGTCCACAATAAATAACGAAACACACTTCTACCTCAACATGCTCAATAACCATAATACACCACTTTGAACATGTCAATGATTAAATAACTTGATAAAGATGTAACCTTGAATCATGATCATGAAATATTAATATACTCAACAGTTTATTCCAGTCAAGAATTCAAACAACTTGTCCAAAAATGGTTTGAATAATACATAATCTATTAACCTATATGCTCATGATATAACTTTGAACCGAATTCAAAACAAATGGCTCAAGATTTACATGTAGAGTATTTACATCATTCCAGCTGTTTTATAACAGACCAGTAACCTTGAAATTTGGGTTGTGAAGTTTAGTCAAGATCTGAACACACATGTTGGTCATCCTTACCATATTACTAAAATTACATCAATTCTGGTCTATAAACAAGAAATACAAGCAGATGGGACTTTTATGAAAGTAAAGAAAGGAAAAAAATTGTCAAGAAGTAAGCATCCTCATCACTAATGTAAATAAAATTGAATTCTCCTTGATTAAGAGTTGTGTAGTTAGGTCGTCGGTACTATTCACATATCTGTTCATTAGATGTGATCTATGGGTCAGTTACTGATGTAAACTTATCTGTTTCTATGGGTGTGATTTATACCTGTAGGTTAGAGTCCATTTGAATTTACATTTTAGTGATATCCACAGATCTGTTTGAGTTTGAGTGACCCACTATTTCCTTTGATCAGTAGTTAGTTACGTTCTTAGTTAAGGAATGTATTTTTCACAGTTCAGTTGTCTGTAAGAGTTTGTTTAGTTTAGTACTGAGTGATGACCACATATCCTGCTTTCTTTAATTTGTTCATTTCCTAGTTAAGATCTGTTTAGTTTAAGAGTCAGTAGTTTTTCACTGTGTCTGTTTCTAATTCAGTAGTGAGTGATGATCGTAGATCTGCTTCCTTTATTTAGTTCAGTTAAGGTCTGTTTAGTTTAAGAGTCAGTAGTTTTTCACTTTTCCGTCATTTCTAGTTGAGTAGTGAGTGATGATCGTAGATCTGCTTCCTCTGTTCCTGTACCGTATCCTTCCACCTTTTCTGTACGTCCGTTACTTGGTTGATCACTGACCGCTGCCTGTCAACTCGCCGCCGGGCTGTCGTGGGTCTTTGAGGCTCTGCAGCTAAGTTATCCTAGAAACAAAACAAATATTGTCAGGCAACAAAATAAATACATGTATTGTAAGGTGACAAATATTTCATAGTAAATGGGAACAATTTAGTCCTCATTCTTAATCTACATCAGGATAAAATAACCCTGGCAGCTGTTACACTATATAGGTAAACAGTATATATATTTTTATAATGTGGGTAGACAGGATTGTACCACTGTGGTTATCTGAATATAAATCTAGTGCAGCAAGCAGGCAAGTTTGTATCATTACTGCTACAAGAATAATATCTGTATTAGCTTTGTTTGACAACAGTTATATATAAAATGTCTGTATTAGATCTGTACCACAACAGTTACATAGATAATGTTTGTATAACATGTTAATAATACTGTACAGATGCTATTCTGCATGAATCAACAGTTCTGTATTTGTTTTGCTGTATTGGATGTAGTCAAGACTGTTTTCTTGACCATAACTGTTAGCCAGCAATAACTCTTAGGAAGCTGGGCTAATAAGTGTGAGAACATAAAATGAAAACTCGTGTTTGGGATGAACAACTGCTCTATCAATTTAGCTCTACAGCATGTATAGTGCAGTGTGTATTAATTAATCAAGCATAAATGTAAACAAGTAACTTGAATGTTCATTTTCATCACATTGATCCTAATGCACATTATTCAAATTCTATTTGTCAGCTCAGCCATACACGTTATGACATTATGAAAGTTCAAAATATACCATTTGATGCTTAAATGTGTAGGGTAATATTTCTAAATTAAAAAAAAAGATTGTAAAATATGACTAGTTTTCAAGCTAAAATAAAGGTCATATTTTCAAAGACATGTGAATAATCATGATAATACGAATATTTTTTAAAATGTTTAAAAAAAATTGAGAATATTTGGTAGTAGTTTACAGAAGAGTTTATATCAGATCAGAGATGGAAAATGAGAAACTACAGTAAAAAGTGATATTGTGCTGTACAGTAAGACTTGCCTATAAAGAACTCTTAAGAGATGTGTATATTTAGCTTCTAATTACCTAACTTTTAGATTTCTACAAAAAGGAAAAAGGGAACAGAAAAAGAACCCCTAAATGTATTAGAGTTACTTTTAAGCAAGTTTTACTGTAATATAGATAAGCAATGACAACACAGAGTAGATTAAGAGAGAGCCCACTGCCAGAGATTACCAAATTCACCTCCTCGTTCACTTGTTGTTGATATTGTGTCCTCGGTCTCTTAGCGATGAGTGGATCCAAACAGAGAAGGAAGCACATGTAGATGAACAGCAGGGCCACCACACAAATGATGAAGATCACCACCACCTGAAATATAAATACAAACAAATAAACAGCAGGGCCATTAAACAAAGTATGGTTTATTAATTTTAATCACTATCATATTTGTACTTTACTAACCTTAATCACTGTGGTGTTTCTAGTTTACTAACCTTAATCACTGTGGTGTTTCTAGTTTACTAACCTTAATCACTGTGGAGTTTGTAGTTTACTGACCTTAATCACTGTGGTATTTCTAGTTTACTTAGCTTAATCATTGTGGAGTTTCTGGTTTACTAACCTTAATCACTGTGGTGTTTGTTGTATACTGACCTTAATCACTGTGGTATTTCTAGTTTACTTAGCCTAATCACTGTGGTATTTCTAATTTACTTACCTTAATCACGGTGGTATTTCTAGTTTACTAACCTTAACCACTGTGGTGTTTGTAGTTTACTGACCTTAATCACTGTGGTGTGTCTGGTTAAGTTACCTTAATCACTGAGGTGTTTGTAGTTTACTGACCTTAATCACTGTGGTATTTCTAGTTTACTTATCTTAATCACTGTGGTATTTCTAGTTTACTTATCTTAATCACTGTGGTGTTTGTACTTTACTAACCTTAATCGCTGTGGTGTTTCTAGTTTACTAACTTAATCACTGTGGTGTTTCTAGTTTACTAACCTTAATCACTGTGGAGAAAGTAGTTTACTTACCTTAATCACTGTGGTATTTCTAGTTTACTTAGCTTTATCACTGTGGAGTTTCTGGTTTACTAACCTTAATCACTGTGGTGTTTGTAGTTTACTGACCTTAATCACTGTGGTGTTTATAGTTTACTGACCTTAATCAATGTGGTGTTTATAGTTTACTGACCTTAATCACTGTGGTGTTTGTAGTTTACTGACCTTAATGACTGTGGTGTGTCTGGTTTAGTTACCTTAATCACTGTGGTGTTTGTAGTTTACTGACCTTAATCACTGTGCTGTTTCTGGTTTATTTATCTTAATCACTGTGGTGTTTGTAGTTTACTGACCTTAATCACTATATCACTGTAGTGTTTCTGGTTTACTAACCTTAATCACTGTGGTGTTTCAAGTTTACTACACTTAATCACTGTGGTATTTCTAGTTTACTTATCTTAATCACTGTGGTGTTTCTAGTTTACTAACCTTAATCACTGTGGAGTTTCTAGTTTACTGACCTTAATCACTGTGGTGTTTCTAGTTTACTGACCTTAATCACTATATCACTGTGGTGTTTCTGGTTTACTAACCTTAATCACTGTGGTGTTTCAAGTTTACTAACCTTAATCACTGTGGTGTTGTTAGTTTACTTACCTTAATCATTGTGGTGTTTCTAGTTAACATACCTTAATCACTGTGGTGTTTGTAGTTTACTGACCTTAATCACTATATCACTGTGGTGTTTCTGGTTTACTTATCTTAATCACTGTGGTGTTTCTAGTTTACTTACCTTAATCACTGTGGTGTTTCTAGTTTACTAACCTTAATCACTGTGGTGTTTCTAGTTTACTGACCTTAATCACTGTGGTGTTTCTAGTTTACTTACCTTAATCACTGTGGTATTTCTAGTTTGCTAACATTAATCACTTTGGTATTTCTAGTTTGCTAACATTAATCACTATATCACTGTGGTGTTTCTGGTTTACTTATCTTAATCACTGTGGAGTTTCTAGTTTACTGACCTTTATCACTGTGGTGTTTCTAGTTTACTTATCTTAATCATTGTGGTATTTCTAGTTTACATACCTTAATCACTTTGGTATTTCTAGTTTGCTAACATTAATCACTATATCACTGTGGTGTTTCTGGTTTACTTATCTTAATCACTGTGGAGTTTCTAGTTTACTGACCTTAATCACTGTGGTGTTTGTAGTTTACTTACCTACATCACTGTGGAGTTTCTAGTTTACTTACCTTAATCACTTTGGTGTTTCTAGTTTACTTATCTTAATCACTGTGGTATTTCTAGTTTACTAACCTTAATCACTGTGGAGTTTGTAGTTTACATACCTTAATCACTGTGGTGTTTCTAGTTTACTGACCTTAATCACTGTGGTGTTTCTAGTTTACTGACCTTAATCACTGTGGTGTTTCTTTATTTACCTTAATCACTGTGGTGTTTCTAGTTTACTAACCTTAATCACTGTGGTGTTTCTAGTTTACTAACCTTAATCACTGTGGTGTTCCTACTTTCATACAGACATTCACACAGGGAACACACTTCTCCACTGGCATGCTCCTCCAATACATGGTAACAGTCACTGTCAAATACATATATATGTTGTGTAAATTAAAAAAAAACACCCAATACTTGATTTATTAGGATGCCAAATCAAGTTCAAAGATAGTGAAAGAAATTTAAGAAAGTTGGTTTAAGCATAAGATGGACCTTCCAAGAGGGGGGAGGCTATTACATAACATTAAATGATGTGTGCATTTGTATTACATGTATTAATACCATTGAAACACTCTAAATAAGTTGTGATATAAGCAATTGACAAGAGGCCTCATTAAGAGTATCAAAATCTAATTCAAAAAAGTTTAAGGCACTTTTAGTTGCTATGATTGCACCTGACATTCTATTCTATAAGTTTCTTTGGGTTAGAATGGGTTGCTTAAAAGAATCTAGTGGCTACATGGCTCAATATAGCCAAGATCTTAATCTAGCAGCTTGACTAAATGCAACAATCTTGAACACAATCTCGGTTCTAAATTGTCTGCAGTGGACCTTCAGATATCCTGATGCCAGATATCAGGAAGTTTCAGTTTCCGGGCGATTTTTTCATTGGAATGGAATTTTTAATGTTATTTTGTTTTGTCTAACTGGTAATTCAGGTATCCAGATGCCTTCATATATCTGGACAAATTGACTGGGAACCAATGCATCCTGATAAATGAGGCTCCACTGTATTAAACATAACTAACCAGCTTGTTGGGTCGAGATCATCTTTGATCCAGGTGCGACTTTTCCCCATGATGGTTCCATTCGGCGCGACATTGGGACACACACATTTACATCGCTTGTCCTCAAAGCTGCTCTTCTCTACTCCGGCATTACTAGGGGATTCACAGATCACTGACGACAAGGAAAGCTGAAAGCAAAGAATCTAAATATTACAAAGCTGCTCTTCTCTACTCCGGCATTACTAGGGGACTCACAAATCACTGATGACAGGGAAAGCTGAAAGCAAAGAATCTAAATATTAAAAAACATTTAGTACACAAAAAAATGTAAAAAGGGAATTTCACTTTCATTTTGACAAATAATTGCCTGATATTGTACTGAGCTGTACGAGTATGTAACAAGCTATATTTATCTCTTAGTATAACACCCTTTGTGTGAGTGTAAATATCCGTCTTTATTCTGTGGGGAGCCCCTCCATTAACTATTTCATCTACCAGAGAGCTCATGTTTGGGTAGTACCTGGGAAGTCATAGGCGAGATTAAACCTGTTTTGCTTGTTCTGAAGTAGCCAGGGCAGGTGCTCAAAAGTACATCAGGTATTTACAGGAATGAAAATGCAATCTGTAAAATCTGTTTATATACTAGTTAGATTCTACACATTTAGTATGGATGTTTTACATTTTTTTCCCAGGGCCCTATTTCCATGATTTCCTTGGGCTTTCCTCCCATTTCTATTTTACACAGGTCTTGGGTGGGATACTTAAGGAATCACTGTCTAGTTTTGAGAGTATGCCAGGGCATCAACAATAGTGGGAAACATGGGATAATTTGCATAACGGGCTTCGCCCGTTATGCTAAAATTATCCCATGTTTCCCACTGTTGTTGATGTCCCTGGCATACTCTCAAAACTAGACAGTGATTCCTTATATTTCCATATCACTGTGAAATTAAATTGTAGACTCAGACATTAAAAATATAGACTAATAGATTTAAACTACATGAGAACTTTCATGCCAATTTCAATAGTCCTCGCACACTGACGTCAAACACAAAGGCAGCCGCACAAGACTTACATGCATATTTGGCCTCCTTAGCGTCAGACACTGAGACAGATGCGCACGAGATTTGCATGCATATTAGGCCTCCTTAGCTGCTGACCTATCGATCTGCCCAATTTACATTCCGGCAGAATTATCAAGAAATAAATTCCCCCAACTTTCAAACAGTTATCACAGAGAAAAAAAAAGAGAAATGGAAATATTTTGATATCATTGATACAAGAGCCAGTCCTGAGCGAGAGGGAGAGTCTCACTAGTCTAGAGGTCGAACATCCCAGGTCCGAATTAACCTGATGTTATATTTAAAACAGACACCCAACGTGGCTGCCTAGCAGTATAAAAACATAGACTTTGGGTCTATGCAAAAAACGAACTTAAATAAGTTTAAGTCAACATTTACCTTAAATATAAAGTGTTATAATTATTGAAACAACTATTTCCTGCTTCAACTTTTGAAGTCATTATCGCATGGTAGCAAAGGAATTCTGGGAAGATTTTGCCCAAAAATTTGCCTGATGTATGTACAGATTTCTTTCCCAATTTCCTCCATTCTTACACTTAAGTCTAGTGAGCTCGCTATAAAGTACACTGAAAAGGTACATTTATCTTTGCTTGCCCTAATGTTGCACAGCCTACATTCTGATTCATATTACATGTTGACAAAATTTAAAAGATTTTAGCCTAATAAATTTCAATGTAAAACTTTGATACCCTATTGAAGGTCCACCAAAAAACAATGCCACAAATGGAAATTTTTTAGGCAAGGTCTATATGCATGATATGCATGACCATCGTGTACTTATTTTTTCTTTGGCTATTCGCACAACCGTCATGTATATGATTTTTTCAGTGACTAGGCCCTATTTGCATAACCGTCATGTATTATATTTATATCAATCAGCTGTTCACACAACCATCAATTTTTACATTATCACATATGTTGTTTCAACCCCAGTTAAGTTAGCAAGAACAAACAAGATATAAAAAAAATAAGGAAACTGTCGATATTCAGACTTGGTTGATTTTAGCAACTTTGACCATACAAACAACGACCGGACCATTGTGTATACATATATGTAATAGCAAGCGAAGCGACGCTCGTCACTGCGAGCTCTTAAAGCAAGAGAATTTAGACTACTGAACATTCATTCAATAGAATTTTTTGAAGCAGTAATTAAGACCCACAATGCATCACTTGTTTAAGCTACGTTAAATCTACGTTCTCATGAGAATAGTAGCAAAAGTTTTATTAAAAGTAAACTTGCCCTGATTTAATGGATATATATTGAAGATAATTAGGAAACAAAACGTTCTTCACTAACTTTCAACACTGTTTAGGTTTTTTTCTTGGTATTGCAACTCACATACGACATCATGTGATGCAGAGTCTAGACGCACCAAATGTCATGTGCGGTTTGACAAGCCTGATCTAAATTAAAACAATAGAAGAGTTTGCGCTCGCTCTAACGGTCGCACCATCAACATATTATACTGTATAAAATATACAATTATGTATAGTTATATCACAGGGGCTTGTCAAGAAATATTTATCTTCTTTTAATAATGTTACCCCTACTATAAAAATACACAAGGGAGGAATCTAAAAATAGGAAATTTTTACCACAAATTTTGACCAGACTTTCTATCTTGTTTCTGGGCGACTTTCGTTGCGGACCAAGTAGAAGTGAGTGGAGTATAGATTCAATTTAAATATTCTTCAGTCAAATTCTAATCAACGCGTACCGCTAGTCATATAACTAACCTCTTTTCTCGATATTTGGATCTGGCGACAGTTCTTTCCATATGAATTTCCGGCGTAAATTGAATGCAGGGCTCTGATTGGTTGCTTTCTGTAAATAACTCATACACAAAGTAGCTCTTTAATTAAGTGCACCAAAACGGAGGGAAAAAGGGGTAACTTTATAAAAAGAAGATAAATATTTCGTGACAAGCCCCTATGGTTATATTAGTTATTATGTTGTGTGCATAGCTCTTGGAACATGCGATTGCTATTTGCACAACAGTTATGTACATAGATTCTTTTCTTACATATGCATACTACGGTCATGAATATATCATGTATATAATCGGCCAAAGCTACTAAAGCTAATCAAAAAGCTACAGTTCAACAGCAAGGAATTTTGGTTCTCTAGTAATACAAGGCGCGTTACATGATGCAGCTAGATACAGTCAAAATTATATTAGATAAGAATCGACAGAGATGTGCCGACTGACTCCCATAATAAACATGGGGAGGCGTTCTCTTCAACCGTTACAATCAATGCTTAAATATGTTAAATGAGAAAAGCTAAAAATTAAATGTTATATAAAATGAGACTTACCAATATACAAGAGAAACAAACAAAAATGTACAAAGATGAAGAGAACCCGTCCATATTTACAGCTTCCTTAAGGCAGTACTGGCTGTCTACTTCGACATTATTTTTACCGGAAGTGAGGTGATCGTCACTGTGTATTATCAAGTCGTTCAAAGTTAATTCTTTTAATACAGATATCGAGAATCCTGAGCATTTTGTCACAAAGCACATATAAATATTTTTTGATTCTGAATTATTTCATTTACCAATAAACAAACAATAAACACGAGCAATAATATTTTTCCATTTTTTATTTTCTTTAAACAATTTCAAAAGAAACCACACAATCTTTTTAGTTTCCGTTACCGGCGGCGTCTTTATATATTTAACCCCTCCCTGTGCACCGTATCAGTCGGGGGTGCCTGATCCTTATCATGCTATCTGTTGTTTTAACAATTCGCTGACATGTTTTTTTTAATATATTTGACGGTAGCTGGAGATCACTTCAATATTTTAAAGATATATTTCACCAACCTGAGAAGATTGAATTTTGGAACCATCCCCCCCCCAAAAAAAAATAGATAAATAATAAAAACAAAAAATTGGTAAGAAATAAAAAGAAATAAACATTATTATAGTAAAGTGTTATTCTTATTCGTCTTTTATAAATAAAACAATGAAGTATATCTTAATGAAAACTTTTTAGTATACAGTACAAATATTGAAATTCGGATTTAGCTTGAAATATTACGTGCTATGTGTACAATATTCAAATGATATCATCATGATAAAATAATTTGTTAAGATCCCGAAAAAAGTAACCCAAGTCCTGAATCGTCTTTATCCAAGTCCCGAACCGTCTTGCTGCTAGTCTCGACAGAAACGCCGGGGTTCCGAAACATCGTGCACCCCCATTCTGTGCATTGCGGCTGCATTTCATTTCCGGAATTTTGGGTAATTATCAACTTTTCATTTCCGACATTTTCTAGTTTTCATTTCCGACATTTTTTTTTTGTTTTCGTTTCCGACATTTTTCAAATACATGTGTAGTACATATAGTAACAGATTTGATAACTTTACTTTTGAAAAATTTTTAGGAATAAATCATAAATAAATCATTGAAATCCAATTTTGCAAATCTATCAGTGACTTGGACATATAAGTATGGTGCTGTCACTGACATTTAATTTAGTTCACATTAAATGTCTTGAAACAAGTTTTATGCTCATTGAACTTTTTTACCTAGACTTAGTGCTTTATATTTAAATCCAATTTTCCCTTTTAAAATTAGAAAACATTGAATTGCCGCACAGGTAAATTCCGGAAATGAAAAAAAAATTATGTCGGAAATGAAAACAAAAAATGTCGGAAATGAAATTTAAAAAATGTCGGAAATGCTATGCATATTTCCGGAAATGAAATGCAGCGCGCGTGCATTGCATACTAGAACAATACAAAATTTGATTAATAAAAACCTGTTGTCACCCTTGACACAAAATTGGTGTTGGTTTTTGTTTATGGGATACACATAGGGTTCAAAAAGCCGGAAAACGGGTAAATTTTCGAAGTTTCTAATTTACAAGTATGCAAATTCCTATCGATTTTACATCACATCATGTTTAAAGAAACATATATAGAACACAAGCTTACCTATCTGCTTTTATATATAATTTATATACGTATATCATAAACTTACATCAGATGCATTTTAAATGAAAACTATATCAAATTTTACAAAATTACAACAGAATTGAGAAACATTTGAAAAACATCCCAATGCCATGTCCCCTTGTGGTCTCTGTTTAAGATATAAATCAAAATTAGAGCTTGTTTCAAAACAAGCATCATTTTAAGTTCTTGACTACAAAATATCACAATTTTGACTCGTTATTTTTTGCTGTTTTTACATCATACAAGTCACCAATTTTGGCCCTTTCCATATCTTGTTCTTTAAAAAGGTAAAACTTTTGTAAAAATGGATTAGTTTATAAACCGGAACATAGGCGTCGGAACGGGGGAGGGGGGGGGGGCTAGGGGGGCTTAGCCCACGTTTTCAAAATATAAATATATACTTAATATAAATATTGACCATATCTTCGTAGGTTTAGCCCCCCTACTTTCCACTGATACGTCTTAGTATAGGTTTAAAATGGGGAAAATGGTGGTGTGTGGAAAAAATTTGGTACTGAAGTTCGACACCCCCCCTCCTCCCCCCTCCCTGCGAAATAGGATTTTCGTGTTTGGGAAATGGATATTTCCCCTTTTTTTCTTTTTTTTTTTTTTTTTTTTTTTTTGCTTGTCAGATTTTTTTGAAGATACAAAAATTTTTTTTACACTTAGCCTCCCCCACTTTTAATTTGCTTTCGACGCCAATGCAGAAATTCAATGCAAGTCTTTGTGTTGACAAAAAAAAACCTTAAAAGTCTTTATATGGTATGCTAGATAAATCAGTAGTTTTACTTCTAAGGACGAAAAAAGAAAAAAAAATCAATGTAAAGAAATAAAGTTGTTAAAAGCATGATTATATCCTTAATGAGAGTAGAGTCTGACGGATATTTTCAAAGGTAATATTACATAAATAAATAATATAGGCATAAAGAACGGGATCTCTCTTGTATGATAATTAAAATAAATGTTTTAACACTTAGATAGCGAAAATATTTACCAACTCTGCACACATTTAAATGCATATGAAATATTCATATGATACCCACTAAAAATTTGTACAAGGAAAAGGATATATAATATTTTTGTATAATTTCCTTTGATTTTAGAAAACGTAACGTTTCTATGAAAGTCTGCTCCTCTTTGAATTGAACATATTTTATTGAACAAAGTCAAAAGGATCGGACACAAGTTCATTAACTTAGATAGTCCTCTCAGGAATGGATAATTGCTAAATAAAGTTTGAGTGAGGTTGAAAACTAGAATAACAATGAATAAAATTCGACAAATATTTAAACAATAAAATGCTTTCTTTGTTTGTTATTACTGGAATGAACGGAAGCAGCTGTTGCAGAAAAAATACATAACCCGCGTAAGCGGGTTATGTAAATTTTTTCTGCAATAGCTGCGACCGTTCATTCCAGTAATAACAAACAAAGAAAGACATTTTATTGTTTATATTTATATCTGTTTAAATTTTCATTTTAAGTAGGATTAAAAATATTAATTATTGTTTAATGATGCGCACGTCTTTGTACGTTTCATTGATGGAACGGCCACTGATCA